GTAGCAACTGTGCTGGCAGACAAGAGGGGCAAGGTTAAATGAGGATTTGCTGTCTGTGTGCTAACAATAAAACTTCGTCCCAGACTTTACTTGGCTTCATAATTACTGTGTCCAAAGTCATGAAACTCGAAGTAAACTTGGAAAATGGTTTTTTTTCAAAATAAAACCAAGCTTGGCATCTGATTTCAGTCTGAAAATTCTGGATAATCAGACTTGAGTGTCCAGTTCAGACTTCCACATCGTTCTGTCGTCGACTGTTCCCAGTTTAATAATTAGCTGTTAACTGCTTCTGGGGCTTGTCTACCCTCCCATTTCCCATGGAACAATGTTGTTTGCAAATGCATTCCTTTCACATCAGTAACTTCCCTGATGTCATCACTCTGACTTGGATTGCAGTGTATGCTAGAATGTCTGGCCGGATTTGTAGCTTTGGAGAGATGCACAGCGATGGGTACTAACGTCAGTTCTCTATTTCGTTACTTGGTGCCTGAGATCTTTTGATCTGTTGACAACAGCTGTGGCTCTTGCCTCTTTCCCTTTCCCCCAACACCCCCCCACCCCCCAACCATGTGATGTGGGCATCACTTGGCAAAGCCCAAAAGGTGGTTGAGTGCCTCCACCAAGCATCGCAGTGTGGATTTAACTGAACTGCTGTTCAGTGCATGCTTCATGAGAGTGGGTCTGCAGCTCGACAGGTCCGATAGCCTGGGAGTAGGTGGCTCACAAGTTGGAGGGTAGGAGTGCAAGAGCTCTGCCTGGTAACCTGGCTGTCAGCTAGGGTCTAGGCCCGAAATGTCAGCCTTCCTGCTCCTATGATGCTGCTTGGCCTGCTGTGTTCATCCAGCTCTACACCTTGTTATCTCAGATTCTCCAGCATCGGCAGTTCCTACTATCCCTGTCTGCTACTGCTCGTGTCTTGGGTTTTGTTTATGCCCGTCCCATCTGCAGCAGTGTCCTCCTCTGCTTAAGGTTTCTTTGCGTTTTCGAAACATATTCCATTCTTAAAAATGCGAAGAGGAGGAATTTGCAGAGATGTGGAGAGGAGAAGGGAGAAGCTTTCCTCTGGGCTATAATGACCATGTGATTGTACTTCTTGTGTTTTGTTTTTCCGCCTGTACAGATGCTGTGAGTGTAACATCTCGCTCTCTCACTGGTATTATGAGAAGGAAGGCCGGCTGTACTGTAAGAAGGATTACTGGGCCAGATTTGGGGAGCTGTGCCATGGCTGCTGTGAGCGTATCACCAAAGGGCTGATCATGGTAAGTGTTTACACTGAGAGCAAGCAATACCAACTAATGCCACATGTGTTCACCGGAAATTGGAAGCCTCCACCAGTTAACAGAGTTGATCCTTCCTCCAGCAGCCTTACTAATCAGTCTCCAGACTTCCAAAAATAAGGCCATCTCGTGTGAATTTGAGGTTTGTACGTTGACAGATTTAATGGAATTTGTGCAGCCATCTTGGGAGTTATTCACCAGAACATGATTGAATGCTGCTGTAAGGTTTTGAAGCTGGACTGAAATGAGATTATTAACTTGGGGTGGGGGCAAGGAGTGCCTAGTGTATTCATTATGGAGAAAGTACCTACAACCTCGCAACTAATCCTTAGGACCTGTAGCAACCTCCCAAGTCACAAGAAATAAACTGGATCTTTGAATGTATAATTGGGGGCAGAATGTAAAACTCAGCAAGTGATACTGCCTAAAGATACTGGCCTTGAACTGTGCATTTCTAGTCCTCAGACAGTACAGTGCAACGTGGAAATGGTTCTGAGATGGCCAGTGAAATTATCAACTTGGCTTTAAAACAGTGGTAGTGAGATGAAAAGTTGGAAGCTGGTAATTGCCTGCTCGAGATGAGTGAGCTTGGGGTGAAGGGATTATGTGAAGTCCTTTTTAAAAATGATTAGTAAGTTGAATCCCAAGAACACTGGACCAAGGAGCCAAATTTAATAAAGGGAAGATGCCAAAGTAGGTTAGGTTTGAGGAGCTGGTAAAGAACTGTGTGTAATTCTGGGGTGGGGTATGAGCGGAAAATTTTAAAAACACAGTCGTTGAGGTTGTGGGCCTTTGGGATTGGTAGAATAAACCCAGCGCCTGCAACGAGTTTATTATTGGCAGCTGTGACAGGAAGATGCGCAACTCCTGCCTCACCAGCAACATCTGTGTCACAGCCTGAACAGCTCTCATCACCCTCAACCGTGCTATGTGACTACTGGATGTGTCTGTTTGCACTGTCTATCTTTGCTGGCTTATCTTCCAGGTCGCTGGAGAACACAAGTACCACCCCGAATGCTTTGTGTGCCTGAAGTGTGGTGTATTTATTGGAGATGGAGACACCTATGCATTGGTAGAACGCTCCAAACTCTACTGGTAAGTATAGAGTTTGGGGATCAGACACTTTTGACCTGAAACTCTGTCCGTTATGTTTGTTATTATGTGATAAGCTGATGATGGGGGTTAATTCTTCTGAGTTTGATTGTAAAATGGTTCCATTTATTTGTTTGACTGTAATAGAGCGGTATTCGGTTAGATGCCAAAGAAACAGTCAAAACAGTCCCTGGTTTTCCGTATTGGAGGATGGCCCCTTGTACAGTGTTAACACTCGGCTGTCCAACTTAAATAATTGCTACAGTATTGAACACTTCCCTGGTAGACTGAAATGTGACACTGTGTGGTGCCTGTACACATTGGATAAGTCATACCTCTGTGTATGTAATTTGTTCCAGGCCTTCAGTCCATCAATGTTAGAGTTCTTATTCTGTAGTCCTGACCATTCTTCTAAATCTGTGCTTCTGAAACTTGTACTTTCCTCACTGCGACTGAGTTTTGAGGTTTGAAAATTGTTGGGACTTCTCAGCGAGAAGTATGCGAGCTGGGCCGGGCCGGGCCTGTTCGTGAGGAAGCATAATTGTTAGAAATTGGTTGGAGCTTCACTGAAGCCATTGCTGTGCCGGGGCCAAAGACCCTAAAACTTCAGCTTGCAATCCCATGTGGTATCATGATCCCCAGTTTGGGAAGCCCTGTTATGGTTGGACTGGTTATTTTGTTTGGTGTGAGAAACAACTGTGGGACAGTATGTGGTACTTGGGCCATCATTAGCAAACTCTTTGGTTTTAAACAAATAGCTGGAGATGTACCAATTTTCTTCATCCTGCCCTCTTACTAATCGACCTAAGAAGGCATCATAGCTGTTCTGATCCACTCCTTCTCTGTACTGTCTGGCCAGGGAGCTGAGATCATTGATAAGCAGTATGTAGTAGTAATGCTAATTTTTGTTTTAATTTCCCTTCCTCTCTTTCCAACAAGATTAGTATCCTAGCATAGATCAGGTACTGACGATGGAATAGTTTAGTTTGCAGTTATATTGGCTGTGTCTCAGACACTACTAGTAATCTTTTCTCTCAGTTTGGTAACCATCTAAGATTACAGTTTTACATTCCACCTTGTTGTTTGTCTCTCCTGCAGTGGTTGCTGCTATTACCAGACGGTAGTTACGCCTGTAATTGAACAAATCCTCCCAGACTCTCCCTGCCCTCAGATCCCACATACTGTGACTTTGGTTTCAATCCCAGCCTCCACGGAGGGAAAGCGAGGCTTCTCTGTGTCCATCGATCAGTCCTGCAGTCCCAGAAGTTCCTCTTCGGAGCATGTGCACACCGTACGGGTCAAAGAGTAAGTGAAGATGATTATGATATAATGGGCAAGGGCATTTGTCACTGCCTCATGATGGGTGAGATGCACCTTGATGGTTCACAGCCATTCTGCGGTCAGCTGTTAGCGGTAGTGGGTCATTAGGCTGCAGCTTGTTTCCTTGCTGCAAGAAGCTGGTTTTACATCGGGGTGTCGTCCCTGCAGCACTTTAACTGTGTACCTCGGGACCAGTGGATACTGACGAATGTTGGGTCAGGCAATGAATGGGTGACATGGTGGCTCAGTATTTAGCACTGCTGCCTCTCAGCGCCAGGGACCTAGGTTTGACTCCAGCCTTGGGCAACTGTGAAACTCCACATAGACATTCTCCCTGTGTCTGCGTGGGTTTCCTGTGGGTGCTCCGGTTTCCTGCCACAATCCAAAAATGTGCCGGTTAGGTAAATTGGCCGTGGGAAATTGCCTATAGTGTCCAGAGCTTCAGGCTAGGTGGATTAGCCACAAGAAATGCAGGGTTAGTTGGATAGGGTAGTGTGTTTGATCTAGGTGGAATGCTTTTCAGAGGGTTGGTGTGAATTTGATAAGCTCAATAGCCTGCTTCCACACTGCAGGGATTCTATGATTCTGTGGGAGTCTATTTGTTCGTGCAGGGCTTCACTATTGAGCTCAATGCCATTCTTTCTCAGTAATGCCATGCATCTAGACCGTGGTCCATCACTGGACCTTGACAGATCTGAGCAGTGCTGAGCAAGAGATGTTGAATGTAGTTGTATTACCATCATGCAGTTCCTGATGTGTTGTTGGGCTCCAGATGTTGCTTTATCATTGACTGACTTGGAGAGAGCCTGTCTTGAAACTGATTAGCTGCTGGAACGTATGGCTCGTAGTGGCTTCGTCCACTAGGACCGAGACTCCAGCTGTCACATTTCACTGTGGAAATCTGCATTTGTGAAGTGAATGCTAGCCCTACCAGATCTGAGTAGTATTACATACTTAGCAGACAGTGGAGTCACTACGAGAGTTCAAAGTAGCAGCCTTCTGAGCTGTTTGACAGGATTTAACAGCAACTTCAGATTATATCAAGTTTTTCTGGAATAGAATGCCATTAATTTTTATTAACAAGTTGAGAACATATTCAAGTGTTTGTTTTGAATAATGTCAGATATGTGGACACTAGACAACCACCAGCAATGCAGCTGGTTCAGGATGAGGCCAAGTGTGGCTGTGGTCTTTGTTGGGCTACTGTGGGAATTGTTACAGCGATGAGATTTCATACGTACCCTAGATGGTGTAAAGGGTGAGAACAGTCATCAGAATTCCTGGAGGTGGTGGCAGAAATATTCTGCACCAACCTTGCGTGTTGTTTGTTTTTCAATATGCAAAAGACCTGGTTTCGAAGGGTTAATTATCGAATTGTACTGTTTGTTTCGTGCATCCTAATACTTGTGTATCCTTTTGTTTTAATGGCTTGCTGAGCTTATAGATTTCCCATAGGGATTGGTCGTGGGAGGTCTGTGCTCTTAATCGCAGCTGGCAAGCATTTTGATACAAGCTAGCATTAATGCCGAAAATCATTGTTCAGTATTCCTCATGGCAAAGTGACCCAGCTACATCTTGAGACTATTATGCAATTAGTTGTTGGAATTTTCTTTAAATTAGCTGCTGACTAAATCCTGTCTCTGGTCAGGTCAGAACTTACATTATAGAAAACACCGAAAATTGTCTAAAAGATTAACAAGGAGGGGAAAATTCAATAGCGAATGAGAAGTCATGAGAAATATAAAAATAGCCAATGTTTCTGTAGATTTTAAAAAAAGGAAAGTGTTAACGAAGTGACCAACGAATGTTGGTCCTATCGTGTTGGCAGCTCACCAGCTTCTCAAGGGCAACTAGGGACAGGCAATAAAATGCTGCCCAGCAAGCAACGCCCATGTTCCGTGAGTGAATGAAGGAAAGGGAGTGAGTCTGGGAAACTAATGATGGAAAATAAGGAAAAACTGAAAGAACTGGGGATGTGATAGTAGGAACTGCAGATGCTGGAGAATCCGAGACAATAAGGTGCATAGCTGGATGAACACAGCAGGCCAAGCAGCATCATAGGAGCAGGAAGGCTGATGTTTCGGGCCTAGACCCAGGTCTGGCAGCATCTATGGAGAGAAAAGAGTTAACATTTTTGGTCCAGTGACCCTTTCAGAGCTGATGATCGCTGGGAATAGGTTGGTATTTATGTAGAAGGTAGGGTGGGGGTAGGAGTGAATGATAGGTGGAGATAGAGCCCGAAGACAGAGAACGACAGTTGGACAGACAAAGGAGTGGGTAAAGGTCAGCCTGGGAGAATGATTAGCTGGTAACGGGGACCATTAGTAACCAACAGTGGGTTGTGTGTGATAGCAGCCCCATGTGATGACAAGGCCTGGTGTGTGGGAGTAGGGGAATGACATGGGGGAAGGTGCTCAAGTCCTAAAACTGTTGAGCTGGATATTGAGTCCAGAAGGCTGCAGAGTTCCCAAATACAAAATGAGATGCTGTTCTTCCAGTTTGCGCTAAGCTTCACTGGAGCACTACAGCAAGCCTGAGATACAGGTGTTGGCCAGGGAATAGGGTGGTGTGTTGAGGTGGCAGGCAACTGGAAGCTCGGTGTTTTTTGCAGTCGCAGTCTACACTAGGCTCCCCAGTGGAGAGGAGGCCAAATTGTGAGCAGCGAATACAGTAGACTAGATTGTGTGGAGTGCAGGTAAAGTGCTGCTTCACCTGGAAGGTGCATCTGGTGTCTTGGAGGGTGCAGGAGGAAGTAAAGGGACAGGTGTTACACCTTCTGTGGTTGCAGGGAAGATGCCTTAGGGCTGCAGGGGAGAGGTGTTGGGAGTGGAGGAGGAGTGGATCAGGGTGTCCTGGAGGAAACAGTCCCTGCAGAAGGTCGACAAGGGAGAAGAGGGAAATGTGTCTGGTGACAGCAGAAATGGCAGCTAGTGGTCTTCTGGATGTGGATGCTCCTGGGGTGGGTGGACGCAAGGAGAAGAGGAGCTCCTTGTAAAATGAGGAAAGGACAGTGAATTGAACGGGTATTTTGCATCGGTCCTCTCTCTATAGAGGTTACAAGGAACAGCCCAGAACTGGCTGTAAATCAGACGGAGGGGAAGGAAGAACAGAAGAAAATTATCACCAGGGAAGTGATACTGAGCAAATTGTTGGAGTTGCAGACCAACAGATCCTTACGTGTCGATGGACTTCACCTGGGGTCTTTTAGAAGAAGTGGCGATTGAGATATTTGTTGTGTTGATTTAAATTTTCCAAAATTCTCTAGATGTGGGGAAGGTTGCACTTAGAATGGAAATAGCAAATGTAACCAGTCAAAAAGGGACAGAGTGGGAGAGCAGGAAACAACAGGCCAGCTGACTCCTCTGTCATAGGGAAAATGTTGGTAACTATAATTAAAGTTGTTATAGCAGGGCATTTCGAAATGCTCAAGGTAATCGGGCAGATTCAGTTCTGTTTGTGAAGGGGAAATCATGTTTAACCAATTTATTTGGAGTTCTTTGAGGAAGAATGCGTATTGTGGATGTACTTGGATTTCCACAAGGCGTTTGATAAGGTGCTGCAACAAACGGTTATTGTAGAAATTAAAGAAATAAATGACTCTGAAGGGATGGAAGATATGTTTGTTAAATTTACTGAAGATTCATAGGAAAGAAAGTTGTGAAGAGGACATGAGGCTATAGAGGGATAGAAATAGGTTAAGGTAATGGACAAAGATCTTTCAAATGGAACGTAAGAGAAGCATATTATCTAAATGGTAAGAGATTTTAGAGCTCTGAGATGCAATGTAATCTGGGAGCCCTAGTACATAGAGTCATACAGCACAGAAACCCTTTGGTCCAACCAGTCCATGCCGAACATAATCCCAAACTAAACTAGTCCCACCCACCTATCCTGGCCCATATCCCTTCAAACCTTTCCTTTTTATGTACATATCCAAATTTCTTTTAAATGTTACAATTGTGCCTACATTAACCATGTCTTCAGGAAGTTCATTCCACACGCAAACCACCCTTTATTTTAAAAAAAAAAATTGCCACTCATTCACATGAATGACAGAAGGTTAGTCTACAGATACAGTAAGTAATTAGGAAAACTAAAATAATGTTATTGTTTATTATGAGGGGAATAATTGAATCTAAAATTAGGGAGGTTATGCTTCAGTTGGACAGGACACTATTGAGACTGCATCTGGAGTACTGCGCAAAATGTTGGTCACATTTATTTAAGGAAGGATAGAAACATATTGGAGGCAGTTCAGGGAAGGTTTACCAGATAAATACCAGGAAAGGGGGGCTGCTTTTTAATGAAGAAAAGTTGGACAGGCTAGGCTGTTATTTGCTGGAGTTTAGAAGAGTAAGATTGACATGTAGAAGATTCTGAGGGGTTTTGACACAACAGATGTTGAAAGAATGTTTCCTCCTTTGGGAGAATCTAGAACTAGGGGGTCACTGATTTAAAAAGTAGGGGGTCGCACTTTTACAAGAGATATGGAACTTTTTTCCTCTCTGGCTATTGAGTCTTTGGAACTCTTCATCGGAAGCATTGGGAACGGAGTCCCAGACTATTCATTAAGGGAATAGCAAATTGATACCAGAAAATAATCTTTCAGTGATGCTTCATAGGTAAGCTGATATCAGAGCTTTTTAATTACATGAGTAGATCGATGGAGGTAGGAAAGGGGAATAAAGGCAATACGCAATAAACAGGTGAGTGTAGGAGTGGCACCATGGCTCAGTGGTTAACACTGCTGCCTCACAGCGTTAGGGTCCTGGGTTCAATTCCACCCTTGGGTGACTGTAAATGTGGAGTTTGCACATTCTCTCCATGTCTGTGTGGGTTTCCTCCGGGTGCTCCGGTTTCCTCCCACAGCCCAAAGATATGCAGGTTAGGTGGATTGGCCATGCTGTGTAGGTTTGGTGGATTAGCCATGGAGAATGCAGGGTTACAGGGACAGGGTAAGGGGTGAGATGCTGTTCAGCGGGTTGGTGTGGACTTGATGGGTAGAATGGACTGCTTCCACCCTGTAGGGATTCTATGATAGGGAAGATTAGATGAAGTGTGAAAAGGAGCACAAAACCAGAGGTCCCTGAGTCTGACAGAATGGTTGGATAACATGTTAATTAAGGCCTTTGGGATGCTTTCCTTCAATGGTTTTGAATATAAAAGCCAGGTTGTAATGTGGGAAATGTATAAGATACTGGGTTAGTTCATCGTTGGGGTTTTGTGTCCAGTTCTGGTCACCACGTTAAAGGAGGATTAGAGAGGAGATTCACATGGATGTTTTCAGTGCTCTAAAATTGTAGCTATAGGGAAAGATTAGATAGGCCAAGATGAGGGCTTGATTGAAGTGGACAGGGAACATGTGTTTCCCCTGATGGAGAAGTCAGTTATCAGGGAGCATAGATTCAAAGTGATTGGTAGAAGGGTTGGAGGGGACATGAGGAAATGTCCTTTCCACTCAGAAGGTGATAGGAGTGTGGAATTTACTCCCCAGTTTGGTGGTTGAGGCAAAAATCATTCCTCATTTAGAAGGAACCTGGATCTGCCCATCAAGTGCTGAAAGCTATGGGCCAGGTGCTGGAAAGTGGGATTGGAGTGAGCGGCCAGTTTATTCAGAGGCAGAGATACGATGGGCTGATTGGTCTCTATGTGCTGTAACTGTTCTGCAGCTCAATGGAAATGACCAGTTCTTTGTAATGATCAATACACTCAACAAAACCTGCAAACTTAACTCCTTAAAGTCCCTCGATTACCTTCTTCACAACAGCTGGGATGGCCAATGGAAGTCTTACTGCAGGTACTAACAAATACCAACCATCATTAATGAAACAGAATGGTAGATGCCAACTATATAATGAGTGAAGTTGGTGGGAGGGGCTTAATTCATATGGCGGTGGGGGGGAATATGCGAGATTAGGGAGTAGAAAATGCCAGTGTTTTATTGGAAGCAGATGGGAGAATTACTTCAGGTGTACAGAATGGAGACGTTAGGAAGGTTTTCCCTGCTTAGGTGAGGGCAGGGGAAGATGGTTGAAAGATTTGGTAGAGGTGTTAAATTGTGTGTGTGAGTGTGAGTAGCTAGTTCTAAATCTGTTTCCATTGATGGAGAACAAGAGAGCATAGATTTAAGGTAATTAGCAAAAGAAGCAAGGAGACAGTGGTAGCGTTTCACACTGAATGGTTAAGGTCTGGAATTTGCTACCAAGGAGACCGATGGAGCCAGGTCTAATTGAGGCATCCATGAGGGAATTGGACTATTATACAACGAGGAAAAACATGGTGTTGTTGGGAGAAGACAGCAGAATGGCATATGGTAAATTGCTCCTTTTAGACAGCCAACACAGAGTATGACGGGTCAAATGGTCTGCTGTGCTGCCACAAATCTGTAGTGTGTTCCCTAATTTTATTGTGCACTGGCTGCCAAATGTTTTTTTTGTGTGTTCCCGTGAATATTTTTCACAGCTGTACACAGAGTAGTTCAATACATAGGAGGAGACATATGTGTCTTGCAGCTGTGCACCTTAACAGGAATGTTGGTCACTAACTATATTTAATAGCTGGGAATGCTGAGGAAATGTCTGATCCACTGAGTTAACTTGGTATTGGAATCTATCAGCACAGTGAATTTCTTATTTAATTGTCTAATTTACCTGGGTTAATTTCCTTTTCACAAAATGGTTTATGTTGAGTTGCTATGATTTGAGTTGTTTGCGTTGAATGTCAGAAAATAGGAGTTTCCTGCTTTTAAGAGAATAATGTTATGATTAATGCAGTCATCTTAAGACTCCTGATGACTGTGGTCACTTGTCTCTTGGTTCCCTTTTTCTTCTGAAGAATTAACAGCCTTTGGATGATGTATTTCCCAATATTATGCAACATTGGTTTATCTCTTGTGACTATATAATGTGTGTCATTGATCTTTTGTACACAGGCTAGTTGGTATAATTATTAGTTGATTGGAATATGTTTTTGAAGATGTGGCTGGCCCGTTCTGAGAATAATTGGGTAGACTTCATGAGCCATCAGTATAAGCAATTGTAGAGGGGTTTCAGGTACCAGTGGATTATAGTTGCGGGTTTTGTAGCTCCCTCCTACAAGGACCTCATTACTACGATACCGTTTTTCTTGCAGAGTTGATGCTGGTTGCATCAGTCCAGATGTGAAAAACTCCATTCACGTTGGTGACAGGATCCTGGAAATCAACGGAACGCCAATCAGGAATGTGCCTCTGGATGAGGTAAGCTGTGAATCAAATGACTGTACCTTTGATCTGTAATATTTTAATATGCGTGTATCAGACTGAATGACTGAGTCTCTTAATATAACTGTCCAAAGTTAACTAAGAGAAAGGACGTATGTATATGGAAGGCTAGGAGAACCAGCTTCGGGATAAGGTGATGGCCTAGTGGTATTATCAGTAGACCATTAATCCAGAGACCCAGGTAATGTTCTGTGATCCTGGGTTCAAATCCTGCCATGGCAGGTGGTGGAATTTGAATTCAGTTTTTGAAAAAACATCTGGAATTAAGATTCAAATGATGACCATGAATCCATTGATTGTTGGAAAAACCCATCCGGTTCACTAATGTGAAGGAAACTACTGTACTTGCCTGGTCTGGCCTACGTTTGATTTCAAACCCTCAGCAGTGTGGTTGACTCTGAATTGCCCTCTGGGCAAATAGGGATGGACAATAAATGCTGGCCTTGCTAGTGACGCCCTCATCCCTTGATTGAATTAAAATATAAACAGTGGTGATGGTGGTGGGGAGGCCAGCTGTCCCCTGTAAGTAGAATGGTCATAATTGGTGAAGAGCTCCTCTTCCGATTATAGACTGCTTCTCCATTGCTTATGCTGAGTCAATCAATAGCAAACATGGGAGAGAAACTGCCTGAGATCGGAGGAGCAGCAAGCAGTTTGGAAAGCAAGCGTTGGTAGTTAGGGAGTAACCGGGAGAACTAGAGCACCTATTGACTGGGGATTTCATTGTGAATATAGCAGGCCCTTTTGAAACCTTAGAACTTGTCCCATCATTCAACAAGATCATAACTGAACTGCTTACGGCTTCAACTCCACGTTCCTGCGTACCCTCAATTTTAAACTGACAAGGGAGTCAATCTACCTACCTCTGCCTTAAAAATTTGAGGGAGCCCATCTCCAATGCCAGCAGGGCTTTTACCATTGGCTGTGCTTTTAGTCTGACTGGTATTGGGGGCTGTGGAGGAGGATGCAGATGCAAAACACAGAGGACAGTTTTAAATCTGATTAACAAAGAAATATTCAGCTAACTGGAAGCTAGGAATATCGCAGAGGTAATGAATTCCTTGCAAATGAATGTAGATTATTTTGTTTAAGTGTGGATAAGCCCAGGAGCTACTATATGGGGAAACATGTAGTGGATGTCAATGTAATGAAGCTTGTTAGTTGTTGAATTTAAATTGGAGATGTACTAAAAGGTAGTAAGTGCCTTGTTAAAATGTTCCAGCTTTGAGCATATGTAATGGAAACACATTAGTTATGACTCACCAGTCCGTGAAACTCATGTTTAGGATAATGGCTTTTTATGTGTAGGAGTGTCAGTTATTTTTGGCGGGGAGGAACAAATCTTTTGCTAATTTATGCTTGTGTTCTTATGCCATTTTAAATACTGCAGAGTCTAAGAAATATGAGCTTTGCTTGTGTGTTGTGGCTTTAATGGAGGATTGATAATTACTGAGGTATTGATGCATTATAATTTGTTTGAGTCTAAATACCCTGTCTGTCGATGTGAAGGTATAGTCAGGTTACTGCATCACCTGATGCATAAATTACTGAGAACGAGAAAGGAACTCCTGGACTTTGGTGGGGAGAGTGGGTTTGAAAGGCAGAACCATATCTTGGCCCCTAAAGTTGCCACTGGGAAATGCCAACTGCGTATGGTGGAGAGAATGGACAATGTGAGCTCTGTACTGATTCAGATGAGATGCCAACCATTTAGGCAGAAGTAAACTGGAAGTAATGAAGTTGAAGAGAGGGGGTGTATCTCTGTTGGAAGGAGGAAATGGGTCACAACAACCATGTGCAGGTGCAGTGAAATAGGAAGAAGCTGTAAGTGGTGGCATAGAATGGGAGGGGGGGGCGTTTAGGAGGGATCACCTGGATAAAATGGGCTAAGGCAATCCTACATGGTTGGGAGAGCAGGATAGTAGAAAACAGAAAATGTCATGTGTGGAGCGAACAACTGCATGTACAGCAGCAAGAGGAGTAATACTAGCAAATACAACTGGAGGGCAAGGTGATCTGATATAAAATGGTCCTGACGTTTTTCCTTGACCATATCTCCATCCTGTGAAAGGTTTAATATATTTGGATTGTGTGACGTTTGACTTGTGCAGATTGACCTCCTGATTCAAGAAACCAGTCGCTTGCTCCAGTTAACCATTGAACATGATCCCCACGACATGTTGCTGGAGGACCAAGCAGAGACCATCAGCCCGATGTCTGATATTTACAGCCCACGGAAATTAAGTGCCCCTAATGGAGAAGGTAGCACGGTCAAAAAACGCCCCATCATGTAAGGACGCTTTATAGTTTGTACTGAATGTCCACTTGATCTGCTGTTTCTTAACATACACCATCCTATAATCTGATCTTTTAAAAACGCAGCAAAACATAGTACAGAACGAGATGATTTTGGCCCATCATGTTCCTGCTGGCTCACTGAAAGAGGCATACATGTTTAAGAATTCTCCCTTCCCTGTTATATTGACCCATTCAGTCCCTCATTCAATTAAATCTCAAGCTTGGCAGTGAGGAAGCATCAAGCAGAAAATGGATACCTCCAGAAGATTGGGGGAATTAAAATGATGTGTTCACTATCATAAGGCCATTCTTCTTCTCTTTCATGGTTGGTTTAGAGTGGAATCGGCACAAGACCTGACTGAAGCTGTTTTCCTTCATTCTGAGAAGCTGTGTTGATTTGGCACTACTACCACCCTTTACTGTTGAGGGAACTGAAAGGAGCTGAACATCAGCTGAGAACAGGAACCTGCGAATTTCCCGTTGCTTTCTCAGTTCTACTAAGTAGAGTTGATCATGTGTAATCAAAACACTTTCTATTTTAAGAAAAAAATTACAAATAATTTTAAAACCTCTCTGACATGATGCTGGGTATTATTGACTTTATTGGGAGAAAAGTGCAGTCTTCCATAGAAGGGAATTCAGGAATATTTATTTTTGTATGAGATGCTGTAGGAGTCTCCAGCTCTAGTAGTTTGGGTATTAAAAATCCAGTGGAAATCTCTGCAAAGGAACGGAGAAATACATAGAAAATAAGAAAGCGACAGCATAGAAACAGCTGTCCAGACTAATCCCATTTCCCAGCTCTTAGTCTGGTGTCCTGTAAATTCTGGCACTTTGGGGTTTCTGCCTCTGCTACCTGTTTTTGTCAGGCAGCGAGTTCCTGACTCCCATCACAGTCACAAAAAATAATTCTCCTCGAATCCTTTCTAATCCTTCTACCAATTACTTTTAAATCCATGCTCTCCTGGGTCTAATATCACTGCTTTTGAGTCCCTTATCATTTTTAAGGGCCCTAATTAAATGCCTCCTCTGTTGCAAAGCAAACAACCCCAGCTTGTCCAATCTTTTCTCAGTTAAAATTCTACATTCCTGGCAAGACCTATAAATCTCTTTTCGACCCTTTCACATATAGTCACATCCTTCCCATAATTTAGTGATCAGAACTGTGCGTAGTGTTCGGCTGTGAGGTGTTTAGTATAGGTACAGCATAATAAACTTGCGATAGCCTTTTATTAGTGGAAGCATAAAATTTATGCTAAATGCTTTCTTTACCACGTTGGACCTGTCCAACCACCATTAGGGATCTGTGGATTTGCACTTTTTTATTGCCTCTGATTTTTCCCAAATGCATTTCTTTGTGGCTCCTGTGTATTGAATTGATTTCTATTCTCCTTCAGAGATATTATTCGTCACTTTCAGAGGGTTCTGGGTGTTGGGAGTAGAATAGTGGAATCTTTAAATTCTGGGGTTATTCTCTTGGACTCCTCAGGGTCCCTATGTGCAGCTCTCATCTCAACTGCAGAAATGACTATCTGGTTTATCTTGGTCCCTTTCTGTTACTACATTAAACCTAACCGAATTGCTGCAACCAAAATGCTGTTGCCCCTGCCAGCTGCCCAGTTTAATTCCCTAAAACTAAGTCCAGAGCTGTGGTTTTTCTTGTTGGGTGCTATATATAATCTTAAAATGCACTCAGCAGAACTTTAACTGCGAAATATTTCGGTAACCTCTATTTGCTGTTTTCTTTTAATTGTTTAGAGGTTGGATAGAACAATGTGATCGTCTTTTTTTTCTCTGCTCATTCAAGCCCAAATTCATCTTAAAATGTTTCTTACCAAGTCACTGTTTTATCTGGCCTGCAATGACACTTGGTTGAAGCAAAGATATGTAGCAGAAATGACGTGAGCATCAGGTATTTGTACCTCCGTGGTAATTGTGTTACTTACTACTCCTGGTTGAAGTCTTCCGTTTGTTCAATAATTAGTCACTTAATCTAATAAAACATGGAGTTCATTGAATTTGGTTGATTAGACCATTGTCGGTATCAGTTAGTGTGACTGTTGGTCTTCATTCATTTCCAGGAGAAGCTGCAGTATTGACAAGTCGCCAAGCACTGGATCACCTGCCTCTCAAAAGAAAGATTTGGGCCGCTCAGAGTCTCTGCGGATTGCCTCAAAAATGCATCGTATCTTCCGCCCTTCTGACCTGATCCATGGTGAAGTGCTGGGAAAAGGCTATTTTGGACAGGCTATTAAGGTATACTTTATACAAACCACAATTGTGCTTGACAAATATGATATTTGTCTTTAAATGACTCCAGGAGGCAACAGGGGAATGATTATGGATGTAATTGATATGGATTTCCATGAGGCATTCTAAAAAAGTGCCTCTCAAGAAACTCGAAGCCAAATGTTAAGCTCATGGAATTGAAGGAAATCTATTAACTTGGTTAGGAAATTGGGAAGATATTTTAAATAGTTGGATGTGACCAGTGACGTTCACTAAACATCTGGACTTTAGATTTTCACAGTATTCAATTAATTACTTTGGGATTGAAAATGACATCCGTTTAACTGGCATGTGGCAGCACTGTAAGCAGTAAAGAGAAGTTGAACGTTACAAAAATTAAGTTAATGCTTACAATTGTGACAAATTATTTCTTCCAAAAGGATAGAACTGAGCCTTTTCTCAATAGTGTGAAGCTATAAACAGAATCTGACGACTTTAAAATCTTTGTAAATAAATCATCAAAATATCCTTTACTGTAAGAATATAAAAAGCAGAAGCAGAAGTAGGAGTAGGCAATTTGACTTTGAACTTGCTCTGCTATTCAGTAAGATGATGCATGATCTAATCACATGTTGCTGTCTTGCCTCCTTCAACACTTGGCTCCCTTGTTGATCGAAAAGCTATCATCAACCTTGAACATTTTTGATTACTCCTTCACTACTCAGTCACTGAGAATGCTAAAGATTAACAACCCTTAAAGAGGAGAAATTCCTCTCCGCTCTGTCTTAAGTGGGAGCTGCCTTATTTTGAAACTGTGCTTTATGTAAGATTGCCCTGGAGGGAACCATCCTCTAAGCATTTACCTTCGACCTTGCCAACACCCCTCCAGAATCCTGTACGTTCCAAAACAGTCACCCTTCTCGCTCTTCTAAACTCCAATGAGTATAGCCCATCCAAATCAACCTTTGTTTCATAAGACAACAGCTTTCATCCCAGGTATCAACCAAGTTCTCTCAACTGGTCCCAACATAAATATTTCCCTTCTGGAGACCAGAACTGCACAAGTACTCTAGGTGTAGTATCAGTGGTGCCCTGCATAATTGTAGCAAAACTTCCTCACTTTTGCGTTCTCTGTCTTACTTTCAATCAAGCCCAAGTTCCATTTGCTTGGTGCACCTCCAAGCTAGTATCTTGGCTCTGAAATGAGGACAGTCCAATCCCTGTATTGCAGCATTCCATAGGCCCTCTGCATTCTTAATGATATTCTGCTTTTCTAGTCTTCCTAGCAAACCCAGAAACATCATGTTTTCTGACAACATGCTCCACCTGCTAAATTTTAGCCCATTCCCTTAACCTGTCTTTACCACTTTGCAGACTCTGTGTCTTTATCACAAGCTGCTTTCCTACCTGTCTTTTTATCCTCAGTACGTTTGTCTATATTACGCTCGGTCCCTTCATTGAAGTAATTGATACAGATTATATATAGTTGTACCACCAAAACTGATCCCTTTGGCACCCTGCTCAGAAATTTACCAACGTTCAGTTTGAAATTGACCCATTTATTTTGACTTCTGAGAAGGTTCATAATGAAATTGACAAGACTAATAGAATGCTAATTGTTATAGCTGGAGGACTGGAATACAAGGGGGTGTAGAGCTAATTTGTTTCTGCTGTACAGACGCCTTTTTTCAACCACACTTGAAGCACTGAGAGCAGCTCTGTGCACCACGCATTACGAAGGGTAGAATAGTCTTTGAGTGTGTGTTTGGGGAGGAGGGGGGTGCAGTGGAAAAGAGAGAGCGTGTTTGTTTAGATTTACCAGAATGATACTTAGACTCCAAGTGTTTAGTTATATGAAGAGACTACTTCAAGTAGGATTTTATTTCCTGGAATTTAGATTTTTAAGTGGTGACTTCATTGAAGCCTTCAAGATATTAAAGAGAACAAGCAGGGATTGATTGTGAAATATTTCTGATGGTTGGAAAGTTTTGGAATGGGGTTAAAGTCTGAAAGTTACAGTCAAAACGTTTCTGGAGTGTAACTCAAGGAGGGGTGGGGGTGGGCAGTGGAAGGCTAAACAAACTTATATTTGGAAACCTGTTTCACAAACAAATGATGCTAGATCAGTTGTTTTAAATCTGAGATTGATATTTTATTATTAATCATGAGGATATAGGTCAAGGCAGTTATATAATTAGGCACAGGACTGCCATATCTCGTTCAATGACAAAGCAACCTCTCAGGGCCAAATAACCTATCCCTTGTTTCTACTGCCTTGCTGCTTCTACTGACTTCGTGCACACCAGTTGAATACCACATTTCCAACAATGACTTCTCTTCAAAAGTGCTTCATTGATTTAAAGCACTTTAGGGTATTCAACGTCACCTTCGCAAATTCTCTAGGTTCCAGCAGGGTACAGGGTGCAAATGTAACCCCATTATTTAGGAAAAAAAAAGAGAGGGAGTGTGAAAACTAGGGAATTTAGACTAATTAGCCAAACATTAGTAATGGGGAAAATACTAGAGTCTGTTCTAAAGGATATGACAACGGGGCACATAGAAAATATGAATGGAATTAGACAAAACCAACATAAATTTATGGAAGGGAAATCGTATTTGACAAACCTGCTATAGTTTTTTGAGGGCAAAACTAGATAATTATCAAAGGGAGATCCAGTGGATCTTTAGTTCAAAGTGTTGTTTGTGAACAGTATTCCTGTCTATTTTATATGTTCATGCTTTGAGCCTTGAATCTACAATTGGAATTGTTTTGTGGTTTGGAGGGACTCGATGTTGTAGTTTCCACCTTGCTTTTCACATGTACTTTATTTTTCCTTTTGATCAGGTGACACATAGAGAGACAGGAGAGGTCATGGCAATGAAGGAACTGATTCGCTTTGATGAAGAAACCCAAAGGACTTTCCTGAAAGAGGTTGGTCAATAAGACTTTCATTTCTGTGCCTGTGGTCTAATGTAACACATCCATAATCAATGCTCTATCATGTCCAGTAGCATGAATAGGAATACTAATATGTATGCTAATATACTGTTGGCCTAATCAGCCCAGCTCATCCCCGCCTCCCTAACATGTCCTTCCTCCCACCTATCCCCTCGTCCCACCTCAAGCCCCACCTCCTTCTCCTACCTACTAACCTCATCCCGCCCCCTCGACCTGTCTGTTCTCCCTGGACTGACCTATCTCCTCCCTACCTCCCCACCTACACTCACCTTTTACGGGCTCCATCCCCGCCTCTTTGACCTGTTTGTCTCCTCTCCACCTATCTTCTCCTCTATCCATCTTCTATCTGCCTCCCCCTCTCTCCCTATTTATTTCAGAACCCCCTTCCCCTCCCCCATTTCTGATGAAGGGTCTAGGCCCGAAACGTCAGCTTTCCTGCTCCTATGATGCTGCTTGGCCTGCTGTGTTCATCCAGCTCTACACCTTGTTATCTAAGATTAGGTTTTGTTTCCTCTAGATATGAGTCTCTGTAACAGTGATAGGGAAAATTAGTTTAACTGTACAATCATTCTAACTATATAGATTTGGAAAGCTCTTTTTATTTCATTTATGTAATAAACTTTGGTTGTTAATAAATATTTGCAGCCATGTGTGAAATGTGTATTTGTAGTTAATCACCATGTTAACTTAATCAATCGTATGATTTATCAAGCTAAATTTCATTCTGGAATATGACTTGTCCAATAATACCATCAGCTAGGATTATATGAGTGAATTTTCAGTGAACCACTGTTATACACCTGCTGGATTGTGTAATATTTTATATGCATACAGTATATAAAATGAGATTTTATAGTGAATATCAACCACAAGCTATCATACTGGAATACTGTGCCCTCTGGTAAATTATACAGCATGGAATCATGGAATATGATTCCTTCAAGCCCTGGTGTCTATTCTGATGTTTAAAGCAACAAAATGAATTAGCACAAGAAAGCATTTTCAAAATGAGGTATCATTGTTGTTGGTAATGTCACTGTGTTTGGTCCTTCTTGGAATGTTAAAATCTAAGGAGCAAGATAATGGTGGCCCTGAGTGTCTGCAGTACTTTGGGAGTCTTCCAAAACAGCTGTTTATAAAACTGAGGCCCAATAATCTTTTTGCCTCCTATTGAGGTTGGAGTTGGTGTCCAGTTAGAATCATCCCCTACTGCTGTAAGGAAAGGGATGTTTTGCGAGGGTGTGGTGCCTATTTGCAATTTCCTCCCCTCCAGGCTTCTGGCAGCTTTAGTGTTTGGACCGCGCCAACATATTGGCGATGTTCAGCTATATCAGCATCCACTGAGCTCTTCCTAGGCTGCGTGACGAAGTTGCACAGAAATAGATTTGGCCAATAAATGTTTTATTGGGGAAAGCCCTTTATATCATGTTTTGAGAGCATGTTATAAACTAAATACACTTTATTTGTTGTTTAAGCACAGGTCTGAGAACTAATTGGGAGAGCTTGTAAAACGATTGAGTATCACTCTAATAGGGCATGAGATGAGTGAGTCAAGTGTGTGAAATTGAATGAAAATAGAAAGTGTGCTATGTTATACTTGGCTGTTGTGTGGGTCATCACCTAAAGCTTGCCTTTTATTTCTGTAATTAGGTTAAGGTGATGCGCTGTCTTGACCATCCGAATGTTCTGAGGTTCATTGGTGTCCTTTATAAAGATAAGAGGCTGAACTTCATTACAGAGTACATCAAAGGAGGAACACTGAGGAGCATCATCAAAGATTTAGTAAGTGATGACAGAGCAACCACAGTCTTTGTTAAGAGGATATGCAAGATTCCTGCAGAGTAGAACTACAGTACAATGAGGAACTGTCTCCCAGCGCAGGGTTCACTGAACCATTTGCCAAGTGGTTTACAATGGTGCTTGTCACAGAGAATGCCGTGTACTTTAGAAAGGTCATTCACTGGCCAGGCAGAGGCAGTTTAATATTATTGCCAATGCTATCATAGAGGGGCAGCACTGTCTGTAATGTAGGATGATTATTAAATTTTCTCCTGCACATGTTGCCTGACTAATTTAAAGACCGTATCACAGATGTGCCTGTGAAGGAGGGCCTTTTTAAAAGGAGTACTGTACAGTTGTATGCCCCATTATGTCCATATGCGGGGGGGGTTTAATGCATGTTTTTCCCCTGCATGCCTAGGGCCTACAAATTTAGCAATGGGACTAATGCTTGTGTAGGTTGGGTGCAGGCTGTCATATGTTTGGTGCTCGTTTTACAACTGAAAAATGGATGCATTGCATGTCAATTTCTACTGTTGCTAACACTGCAGTATATATGAATGATAGGAGCAGGAATAAATGACTTGGCCCACAAAATCTGTTACTCTTCCACATATCAGCCCTATTCACTGTTTCCTTCATGTTGCTCAGCACCTTGTTTCCATAAACACATTGGATCCTTCTCAACGTTCTTCAATGTTAGCTCGCTCAGTAAATTTATTACCTTATAGTTAACACATTCCTCTTTTATTTTTTTTCTTTCCGTCATACATCTAACTTTAACACTTCTAACTCTGCTCCTCGTGCTTACACTTTTTTTGCTGTGGTCTGACTGACTGAAGTAACTGCAGTTGGAGGAAAAAGCTGTTCTTCTATGGGAACTGCTTTCTACTGATGACACGTTGAAAGATATAAAATTAACCAACTGGATCTCTCTTTCCCTTCAACAGGACCGTCCATTGCCATGGAACCATCGTGTGAGCTTTGCTAGGGACATTGCTGAAGGGATGGTAAGCTTCTGGCTGTAGTGGGAGATGGAACAGAACTGTACACAGGGCTCTGAATTCCAGTTAGTAGCACAAAAGGGTACAGTTAAATAACCATTTGAAGGGAACCTGATAACTGTAGCACGTTAGAGCTTTCATCTAACGTGGCCCCGCCTCCAATTCAATATCATTATACTGTTGTGGGCTCTGTAACTGTACAGATTCTAGTTCAGTCATTTGTTGCTATCAAAGTTTGAGACAGAACACGTGTGATTGGCGCTGTTGATCTTTGTAGCCAAATCCATTCTATTCTTGATTTTTAGAATCAAAATTGTGACTCCATCTGTGTAACCATCCAGTCTAGTGGACGAGTTCCTTGTCCCTTGCCCATGTCTCAGTTTATTTAAAAAATTTCACCAAAAGATTACTGTCAGTGAACTGTAACAGCAGGCTTGATGGCTGTGAGATTTGCTGGCTGTATCTTTGTGGATAGCTTGTCTGTGCTGTCAGTTTTCCTGTGGGGCCGGGCCTTCAGGACTCACAGCTGTCCACCCTGCTGATCCCTTCAATAGGTCTGTCTGTGGGCTGCAGTTCTTTTTTAATCTGTTTGAGGAAAGGTGGATGTTCTTGACAGGGCCAGCACTTATTGTAGACTCCTAATTGCCTTTCAGAAAGTGGCGATGAGCTGCTTGCTCTAAATGGTCCATGCGTTGGTCAGCAGACACTCAGTGTCATTGGATTGGACCCGGAAACAGTGAGGGAATAGTGATTATGGGTCCAGGTCAGGGTGGTGTGTAGCTTGGAGGGGAATTTGCAGATGGGAGTGCTCGTGTATATCAGCTATTCTTCCCTACTGAGGTAGTTGAGGGAACCTTGGTGACTTACTGCAATGCATCTTGTAAATGGTTGACACTGCTGTCGCAGTGTCAGTGGTATACAGACTGAATGTTGAGGGTCATAGATGGAGTGCCAGTCAAGCAGGCTGCTTGTCGTGGATGGTGTCGGGCTTCTTGAGTATTGCTGGAGCTGCAACCGTCAACAAACATCTCCACTTCTGATTTTCACAATGGATTGAAATTAATTGAAATAGCTGCCGATGGACCGGTCTAGGACAGAGATGTCCTGGAGCTGAGGTGACTGACCTGCAACAACCAAAACCATCTTCCTGTGTTCCAGGTATGACTCCAACTAGTGGAGACTTTGCCCCATTGACTTCAGTTTTGCTTGGGCTCCTTGATGCCACACTCAGTCAAAATGATGTCACAAGCTGCCGTTTTTACCTCTGCTCTGGAGTTCAGTTCTTTTGTCTGTTTGAACCAAGGCTGTAATGAGGTGTGGAGTTGAAGAGTGGTTCTTTCAGAAACCAAACTGAGCTTCAGTGAGCTGGTTATTCCTTTGCAAGTGCTGCTAGGTAGTAATTTCGATGACCCCAGATCAGTCAGAGTAGAGTGATATGGCAAAAGCCGCTGCTTTCCCAATTTTGGTCCAAGCCCCAGATCAAAAAGGAGGAGTTTACAGGGTCGACAGGGCTGTTTTCGTCATTGGTTTCTGGTGCCTAGGTCATTGCCAGTGAGCCATCCTGTTTCATTCCTCTGTTTAGACTTTGTAGCAGTGTGATACAAATGAATGGCTTCTTTGGCCATTGGAGGGCATTTGAGAGTCATCTCCATTGCTGTGTGTCTAGAATTACATGTATCCCAGACAAGGTAAGGATGGCAGATTTCCTTCCTGAAAGGACATTAGACAACCATGTGGTTTTTACTACAAATAACAATGGTTACATGATCGTCAATAGGCTAACTTTGTTTTCAGTTCCAGGTATTTACTGAATTCCAATGTCACCATTTGACATCATGAGATTTGAGCCTATATCCTCAGAACATTAGCCTGGGTTTCTGGATTTATAGATTACTTGCCCAATAGCATTTCCATTGTGCTACAACCTCCTTGTTACTGACTGAACTGAAGGAGAAATCATAATATTTTAAAGCGCTTCACTCTGTTCCTGTTATCTCTATTTTCAGTCCTATCTGCATTCCATGAACATTATCCATCGGGATTTGAACTCTCACAACTGCCTAGTGCGTGAGGTAAGCATCAGTGAAACTGGGAGAGGTGGGGCTTGCTGAAGGGGCACTGCAGATTCCAATGGCGTGGCAGGGCTGGTTATTTTGTTGAGGAGGTGAGTGAGGCTCTGTCTGGGAATGGCAGGTTCCTTTCAGGTGGCAAGGTGACCTGGGTGATGCCAGTACCTTTATGGGGTCCCCTGCAGCAAAGCCTGGACTCATGGTGATTTCTGTCCAGTTTCCCAGCCTAAACTGGGGCAAGATGAGTTGTGGGAAGGTGCCATGAGAGAGGGTGGTCCAGACAGTCCTAATCTCTGGCGCCTGTCTCTTCAGGGCGTGCTGGGTATGGCAATAGCATACCTCTCTCTGCAGTGGCTGCCTCACATCCCAAGGGTAATGCTTGCAAGCTGTGTAGCTTTTTTGACAAGCCTAGGGCTTGCAGCTCAATTTGCTGCTTCTCCTTTTCCCAGCAGCACAAATGCTGTGTCCACATTGAAAGCCATTGTGTTTGATTGGACTGAGCTCTAGGAATTGGGTCACCTCCTGGGGAGATTGCTCCACCAGTGCCAATGTACCATCTGCTGGATGGCCTGTGCCTCTGCTGTGTCTGCAGGAGCTCAGATGAAGAGAATGCTGTGCTGTAACTGCCTTCAGCCAACACTGCAATGTTGCAGACGCTGGGGCAGGTAAAAATGGCACAGCCTCCTCTTTCTCGATCTGCATGTGTGCCAGTAGGTCATGGCTATTGACGCACCCCTGTCCTGACCCGTGAAAACTGCAAGACCCCATTTTAGCCCAATTTGTTGGAGAAAAATTGAAAATAATTGATGCGTTTGAAACCGCTGAAAAGGAGAAAAATGGTTTGAATTTCAAATGCTTCACTTTTAAAAAGTTATTTATAAAGACTTGGTTTGTTTCCTGAAATGGAAGGTTTTATTTTTATTGTAACTTCATAATAATAATGTTGGCATTTATGTGTAAATAATAATAATAATAATAATATACTGGAGTAGGTAAGAAAGGAGATGTTTCCCAGCCCTAAGACAAAAAATAACATGTTGTCAGGCCAGTCATGTATGTCTCACAGCATGTTGTTCAATGTTACAGTTCAAATCAGAGAGTTTCCCAGTCACCAGTGCCTTGTGCAGGGCCCAGAAATGGTTCTGGCTTGCAATTAGTTTCCAACTACGAGAGGAGGCAGCCTGCTTCTGATTCCCGCACTTCCAAGTGAATCCCTCCAGAGCTGGCAGTGTGCATGCCATTGGAGCTCAACATGAGGGCGGTGTTAGTTAAACTGAATGCCTCGGCTCAATTCTGGTGCCCTCCCTGCTTTCCTATTCAGTGACTAGGCATTTGGGGCCTAGTCTGCCTCCAGTCCAGCTTCTTGCGTGGGAAAAGCAGAAAAGGTCTTTGTTAGTTAACGCTGCTGCTTGGCATATTTTAGTGGTCATTTTTAAATTTTGCTTTTTAAGTTCAGTTTATTGCTTTGAATTGTTTTTCCATTTTCTTTTTTTTTTTTTTGCAAGTTGTTTTCTTCATGCTTTAACGACTCTTGTTATATTTGTGTCAAGTGCTGTGCCAAACCAGAGATCAGGCAGTCGTTGCTGGCTTCCCTGCTGAAAGGGAATGAGTTCACAAAAAGTCTGATTTTTGTTTCGTGGAAGTCTGGGGAAATAAAAGGGGTTATTGTTGCTGTAATAGAAGTAGGATATGCTAAGGCATCTGGCGACATCTGTGCAGAGAGAAACATGACTCTTTGTGAGATCTCTTGCAGATCATAGACGGGAAATGTGGACTCAGTTTCTTCGTCTACAGATGCTCCCTGGCCTGTGGAATATTTCCAGCATTTCTACTTGTATTTTAGATTCCCAAGAGCTGCAGCTCTGTGAATATATAAACAGAAAGGCATGTTGGACATCCAAGTGTAGCTAGTTTCAATTTAAAATGAGAAAATATTGATGACTCTGTGAACTAATTACTCTCTTCAAAAGAAAAGTCCACTTGTGTGGATAAAAATGGCACATTACAGTCAGTGAACTGGTGGATGCTAAATTACTGGAAGGTTTTGCTCTTTTTTTTAAAATTTAAATGTGAAACTAGGAGATGGCTGTCAATCAATTTATGTCACTGATTAAGATATTCTTATTTGTATTTGGCGTTATTGTTTGTAATGCTTAAGGCTGAAGTCAGTTGGATGTTGCTGTCTGATTTTTGAGCCAAGTTCAAAGAAGTGGAGCTGTTTATGTAATATGAATGGCCAAGTTGTGCAATTTTCTGACAAAGCTGAGGCGATAAAGTACATCAAACTAAATCATCTGCTTTTGAAGGACTTTATGAATAGAGGCACAGAGTTCCAAAATCATTTAAGTTCATTTTCAGCCTGTGCAAAGTAATTCAACATTTCTGTTACTGTGCCCCAATTCTGAGGCACAAAGATGTGAAATGCTTTGTGGAGTGTTCAGGGGAGATGTGCTAGGTTGAGGGATTACAGGGTAGGGGTTTTTCTCCTACCTCAGGGAATTTGATGAAGTGTATAAATTAGTGATTAAATGAAATAAATAGAAACTGTTTCCAGTGGTTGACAGATCAATAATCGGACACTCCAGATTTAATTTTATTTAAATTGATTAGTCAAAAGCATTAGAAGAGGCATAAGGAAAAATCTTTCCATAATAGTTAGGATTTGGCAAGTGCTCTGCCCCTTGTATTGAGGCAGATACAGGTGGAATTAGTGTTTAAAAGGAAAAGGCAAAACATAACTGTTCCTCTGTTGCTTGGCCTTAAACACTTTGCACTTAGCAACAGCCCTTGTAATCAAGTGGCTGACTCTGTTTATCATTATTGTATTCATACATCTGTCTTCACAGAGTTTGAAAACAAATGTCACAGTATAAACTGTGTAGATGGTGATATCCAAAACAACTGCTCTAAAAATATTCACTAGTTTACAAATGGTAGGTAAAAATGCATGAAACTGAAATTGTTGACTTTGTAGATGAGTAGCAGTAAGGAGCACTTTTTTTTTCTGACATTCTGATTTAATCGTTTTAATTTTAATGGAGGCAGAGTTGCAATCACTCAGATAAGCTCATTATAGTTATGGATAATGAACCATTGGACCAGTTTCATTTACTAGATCTGTGCCTCTTTAGCTCAGATCCATTGGGCTGGGTAGTGCATCAGTTTAGGATATTTCTTTTTGAAAGTCTTGTGTGACTATCAGTTGAAAACCAGAGTCAGGTTTGGCTGTGACCATCAAATAATTTGGATAAACAACTGGAGGGGAACTTGTCTTGAAAAGAACCAGAACAAATTCAAGCAGCTGAATGCTGTCCTTTTGTGTAGCACTTCTCTATTCTCTAGGCCCTAACACTCATTACAGAGGCACTTGACAGAGGCTGCTAGGGGATAAAAGGATGAGGGCTGGACTAAGGGACACAGAAACAGGAGAAGCAGCAAAGGCATAATTTTTCTCCCTGCTCTGATTGCAAGCCCTCTTGAAATGGGGGTCCCAGTCTTCAGGAGGTTGGGGGAGTGGTGACGGTGGGGAACATAAAAAAGTAGGAGTAGGTGTAGGTCATTCAACCCCTCACACGTTGCCTCGCCATTCAATAAGGTCATGGCCCCAGGCCTCAACTCTTTCATGCAACTCCTCATAAGCCTCATCGCCTCCATTTCAAATATCACCTCTTTTTAAATACTTTCCGTGATCCAGCCTCCACAATACTCTGGGGTAAAGAATTCCAGACATTCACTACCCTCTGAGCATTCGCAACATCCACCCTGTCAAGCCCCTCAGAATCCTGTGCATTTCGATAAGATCACCCCTCATTTCTCGAAACTCTAGTGAATAAAGGCCTAAGCTGTTCAGCCATTCTTGATAATTCATCTCACTGAATCCACCTCGTGAATCTTTTTTGAACTGCCTTCATTGTTAAATACAGAGACCAAAACTGTGCACAGCACTGCAGACATGGTCTCATTAACACCTCAGACATTTATAATGAGACTTCCCTATTTTCAACTTTTTAATGCCCTAGCAATGAGGGCCAAACTTCCATTTGCTGCGTTAATTACATGCTGTATCTGAATGTTAACTATGTTTTACACCCAAGCACCCTAATCCCTGTGCACTGCACTTTCCTAATGTCTCTCCCCAATTAGATAACCTTTTAATTCTTCCTACCAAAGTGCATGACCTCACACTTTCCTACATTTAAATTCCATCTGCCAAGTTTACAGCTGTTCACTCAACCCTTCTATAATCATCTTGCAAATTCCCCATATCCTTTTGTAACATGCCCTTCCACTCTTCCTTTATATAATTTGCAAATTTAGATACATTACCCTCTGTCACTCCTCCAGTATGTTATAGAATAGTAAATAATTGAGGGCCTTGGAATGATCCTTGTGGCACTCCACTAGTTACATTGTTTGAACCTGGAAAAGACTCATTAATCCTGATTCTGTCTCTTCTGTTTGTTAACCAATTCTCAATCCATTCTATTACATTACCCTATTACGAGCGCTCCTGTCTTGCGCAATAAACTTTTACGTGGTGCCTTTAATTAAATTCCAAAACAATTACATCAATTGGTTATCCTTTATAAACTCTGCGTGTTATATCCTCCAAGAACTCTAGCAAATTTGTCAAGCGTGATTTCCCTTTCACAAAACTATGTTGAGTTTGTTTGATTGTTAGGTTTTTTTAAATATCCTGCTCTTTCGTCCTTAATAATGGACTATAACGTTTTCCCAATAACACATGTCAGGTTAACTTGCCTATAGTTTCCTGCTTTCTGTCTCCCCCCTTCCCTTGAACAGGGGCGTCACATTAGTGGTTCTTCAATTTGCTGGACCATCCCAAAAATCCAGTGAGTTCTGGAATATTTTGACCAATGCCTCGATTATCTCTCCAGCCATTTCCTGTAAAACCGTTGGATGCAGGTCATCAGTCTCTGGTGACTTGTCTGCTTTCAGTCCCATTAGTTTCATCCCTTGGATGCTCTATCAGACTGTGAGATTCTCCCATCAATTTCTGTCTTGTATTTCAGAACAATACTGTAGTGGTTGCTGATTTTGGACTGTCTAGACTAATGGTTGATGATAAAAAGCAGACAGACAATCAGTCACCAGGAGACCTATCCACCATGAGAAAGCCGGACAGAAAGAAACGTTACACTGTGGTGGGAAATCCTTACTGGATGGCTCCAGAGATGATAAATGGTGAGCACACAAATGAGGAACTGTCTCTTTCCTCATTCTTCATTCCTATCTTTTTATCCTTGGGGTGAAAAGGGTTGCTGGGATTACACCATGGAAGCCCCATTATAGCCCAACCTGTGAGCAAGGCAGAGAATATCATTAAGCTAGCTGGTTGTGGAGGACATCATTATGTTATTCCAGTAACGTGCATGAGTAAACACTTGCCAGCACAAGCCTGTGGATGGTGATCAGGGATGAGCTGATTTAGTTTTTCCCCTTGCTAGCACAGTGGAGCTGCTGCCATTAACAAAAAGACAAATTGCACCCAGACTTTGAGTCTGTTTGTGCAGCGGTACTGGCTGGCTGTACCCAACCAGTACTGAATGAAAGCATCCCACCCGTGTTTTAAAGTGATCTCATACTGTTCACAGCAGCTATTATCGCTGTGCTTGTGAAGGTTATTTAAGGGCATGGTAATATTCTGGCCAGCTCAAAGCCTCAATGAGAGGAAGTTCTCATCTGTCCTCTCTATCTGAGGTTATAGATCGTAAATGTGGTGTCCTAAGTGGTGAATTTTGGGGAAGTCTGCTGCTGGGTTTGTGCTATCCAAGCTCTGTTGAAGTATTTTTGCAACTACATATGATCCAGATTTCTCTGAGAAGCTCCTCCAACAACTGGTGAAACAAATGCAAATGCTTGGGCCTTGCTCTAATGCTTTCTGACTACAACCTCAACCTCTTTGTGTGTGTAAGTGAGACAGAGTAGATGTCCAATTAGTTTATTAGAACCCCTGTGTGCTTGTTATTGCCAGTGAAAATTGCCCAGTGTTCAGCAATACTCCTTGTCCTCCATACTGTTGTCTGTACTTATACTGCTGTTTGTACAGTAGTACTCTGATCATCAACAGTTCTTAATTCGCATTCTGTGCTGCATGATCAAACTCTGAATAACTCCTTTTTCTGATTTTTTTTTTCATGATATTTGCTTGACGTGGTCTCACCTGGTGATTAACTGATTTATTTTATATTCCCAGGGAAAAGCTACGATGAGAAAGTTGACATCTTTTCCTTTGGGATAATGCTGTGTGAGGTAAGAAAATGAACTGAGTAGCTGATACTGTCAACTGCTTGTAAAATCTAACGACAAGGAAACCATCTTCATAGCCGATTTCTGAACCAGCAGCTCAGTAAATTTGGAATGTTATATTCATTCTTCCTTGTGATTGTTGCGCTTCATTCAGTGTGTCATTATATTGAGTTGGCACTACAACAAAGTGATTGAGGGCTGGGATATCAGCCACAGCCCGATGAATGCCATAAGCCTGGTTCTGCCATTTACTGTATATTTTCCATTAGGATTAGACATAATCTCTAAACTGAGAGATTAGTGTGCGATCAAGCAATAAACACCATACCCGAATTGTGAACTGAGTGTCTAGTGTAAGACAAGGGCATAGTTTTACTAAGGTGGTGATGTCAGCTTTCCTTGTGATTTGCTGATTTTTTTTGTTTTAAACTTCCAGCTGATTGGTAGAGTAAACGCAGACCCAGATTACCTGCCCAGGACAACAGATTTCGGATTGAATGTCCCTGTTTTCTTGGATCGATACTGTCCAGAGGAATGTCCTGCTGCCTTCTTCCCAATTGCAGTCATGTGCTGTGACTTGGATCCAGAAAAGAGGTGAGTTTGCCACAAAAATTTCAGAGCAAGGTTTGATGTGGAAAGGCTAATGTAACAGGATGATACTGTAGATGCTGGGAACCTGAAATAAATGGGTGAAAAATGTTGGTTGGCTGACTGTTGGGTATTTTCAGAATTTGGATGGGTTTCAATGATACTGCCAATCAGCTGCTTGAGTTTGCATTGACTCCAAAGTTGCCTAAAAGATTTTTGTGATTAGTAAAAGGACTTCTGCAGCACCTAAAATATAATATGGAACAGTGTTCTAAACAGCAGTGCTGCCCATAGGAATTTCCTGGGCAAGAGAACAAGGTTCATCTAGTCTACCCTCTACCAACTTGACTGTAACATAACTTTAAACTGATTAATGATCAATCGCTCTCTGTCCACTAATCTACAACAGGTTCAGACCTGACAACTGGGGTAAAAAGAGTACAAAAAAATCAAGAATCATAGAATCCCCTACAGTGTGGAAACAGGCCCTTCAGCCCAACAAGTCCACACCGACCCTACTGAGTATCCCACCCTGACCCATCCCCCTATAAACTCACCTAATCTACACATTCCTGAACACTAGGACAATTTAGCATGACCAATTATGAGGAAAGGTTGAGGGAGCTAGGGCTTTTTTCATTGGAGCGAAGTAGTATGAGAGGTGACTTGATAGAGTTGTACAAGATGATGAGAGGCATAGTTAGAGTGGATAGTCAGAGACTTTTTCCCAGGGCGGAAATGACTATTATGAGGGGGCATAATTTTAAGGTGATTGGAGGAAGGTATAGGGGAGATGTCAGAGGTAGGTTCTTCACACAGAGAGTGGTGGGCGTGTGGAATGCGCTGCCGCTAGTGGTAGTGGAGTCAGATACTTTAGAGACTTTTAAGTGACTCTTGGATAGGCACGTGGAGGATAGTAAAATGTAGGGTAGATTGATCTTAGTAGGATAATAGGTTGGCTGAACATCGTGGGCCAAAGGGCCTGTACTGTGCTGTACTGTTCTATGTTTAATCCACCTAGCCTGCACATCTTTGGACTGTGGGAGCAAACCGGAGGAAACCCACGCAGACATGGGGAGAACGTGCAAACTCCACGCAGATGGTCGCCCGAGCGTGGAATTGAACCCGGGTCCCTGGCGCTGTGAGGCAGCAGTGCTAACCACTGAGCCGCTGTACAGTGAACTAATTTTAATAATCTTGGCTGTTGATGTGGTGTATGGTTAGCGTTGTTATTTCTGATTGCATGACTGCCTCTATCTTGAACCATTAACATTTACATCATTAGCGCTGATATTTTTAGGAAATTTAATTTTGATCAGTGGTTTGAGCATCCTGGGCCAAATGGCCTGTCTCTGTCTGGTAAATACATTACAATAAGGAGGCTGTGCACTTGGTGCAATAATATTTCAGTAAAAATTATTTTTTTTACAAGTTAACGTCTTTAGCTAGATTTTATGTCTGCATTAAGTACACGGCATTGTGTTAAGATCAATGAATTTTTGCAAAAGTATAGTTTTAGTTTTCTCATTTTATCCCTTTCATTGGACCATCCCTTCCCTCTAACCACCACGGATGGTCTCAAACTCCATTCATTCAGCAGCCAGATTTGGGAGTGACCACTTGCATTTTAGGGGGAGCCAGATCAGCAACTCCTGGGATTTACATAATGAAGATAGGCAAGCTTGATATTTTTTCCTTTAAATGCAGTTGGGAAGAGGGGAAGAGGTTTGACAATCACTCTGGTATTCAATCAAGCTTGTGTCCCCGCCCCCCCCGGGATGTGGGTAAATTTTGAGTTTTTTTTGGTTAATTCACTCAAACCATATATTTCAACTCTTCTACAACAAGATCTCCTAGAGTCCGCCTTACTGCTGTAGTAACCAGCCCGTTATACCACTCCTAATGCTGTTCATTGTTTTGTTTTCCACAGACCATCCTTTATGAAGCTGGAACAGTGGTTACTAGCGCTGAAATTGCATGTGGAGATGCACCTTGCTCTCACCTCTGACCTTGAACAGATCAATCATTCCTTCTTCCAGAATCATTCAAGAAGCAAAGAGAAACTTCTGGAAGCCATGTGAGCTGGTCCAGCTGAACCATTACCATGTAATCTACAAGCATGCTGATCTTCAGCTGACCACCTTCACATAATCTCCCATTTCATCAGCGTTCTGGGCACAATCAAACCTGCAAGTACTCCAATGTACTGTTTATTATTCTGCGGGTAGACCCTTCTGCTTTAACATTTCACCAGACAAGTCTCAACTCATGTAAATAGCTGGTCACCTCCAGTAGGATACAGGAAGGACATGGCAGTATCTAGGGTATTGATGTAAATGGTATGTCCACCATGATGCTCTGGTTAACTCAGTGCTCGTGCACCTTACACATGATTTGTAAATAAGTGAATGCCTGCAGTTAGTGGCAGGATAAGATTTCTGTCTGCTCAAACTCTGGATACAGAAGAACCTTGCTTTGGTAATGTACAATGGGAATTTGATTGGTGCTGTCCAGCTCCTAGTAGGCCTGCACCCTCAGCAGAAAACTGCCTCCAACTTAGCAAGCTCACTAGTAGAGGCAGGACAGGATGGTTGTATGATAATTAGAAAGTTTCACCTTGTTCAGTTGTTTAGGGTCAGGAGAATGGAGCAATTTAAGCCCACACCTGGCAAATTCTGCACCCGAGTTGAAGCTTCATGATAGACAGCATAAACTGAAATGTCGACTTTCCATTCCAAGTGCTAACGTCCCTTATCTCAATGAGCACAAAGGTAGAAACTGGTTTGATACAGCCAGCAGGAAAAGAAATTTATTTTATGTAGTTCATTCCAATTTGAATATTTTGGTGATGGGAGAAACCACTGAAATTTCAGACAACAGTTGCACCCCAACACATTGACAAGCTCCTTAATCTGAGGGGGGAGGTTCAGGGCTGGGGTCTCTCATTAACTTATTTCATCAGGGTTTGTAGTCATGTGGCATGTGTTGAAGAGCTGCTCAATTAAGATTTCATTTCTTTCAATGGAATGAGAAATCAGTTATTAAATTAAAGAATTTCAGAATGAGGATGCTACTGTAGTTTCGGGAGCTGCCAGCATGAATTACTGTATTTGAATCAAATGTTGTACATCATTCTTGAACATTCACTCAGATTGAGTCTCTTCTGAGCTCCCCAGCTTCATCTAAAATCTCCATTTGCACACTGTTCGACATCTCTAGCCTCAACAAAAACTTCTTCACTTTTTCTTAACAGAAATATAAGACTTTTATCATCTGATACACAGGTGTGTCTGGGAGAACCATGTTTGAACAAAGCATTTACTTGGTGGCTCCCCAGTTATCTTCAGGAGAGCTCCGTAATAATCTCTCCTTTTCCTCATCAGTCTGTAACACACACTTACCATTTTTGGTGTTGCCACATTAATGTTGCTCCATGCTTGTTTTCCGATTTTGGAAATTTCAGTTCCAGTCCTTTTTTATTAGTCTGGAGCATCTTTGACAATCTTAGTGTTAAATTGTAAGATTTCCAAGACCTCCATTTTGAGTTGATGGCTAGTTAACCAGTAAATCTAGTTTCATTCTGAAATTCTCATTCCTTCTTTCTCCCCCTACCTTTCACTGTAAGATGACCATGTTGTCCTCCTTTTTGTTTTACCCCATTTTTCTTCTCCCTTTCTTTTTGAAGCATTTTGTAACACTTTGTTAAAGGGTAACCCTTGGAAATATTTTAAAGTTGGATTTAAATGGACATTATATATGGATCTAAATCAATTGGACCATCCAGCATGCAGTCACCGCTTTTCCTCTGGTCCCTAGGTTTGGGTTTCAATCCTTCAAAAACAGGGATGCAACAACTCAACTTCCAGTCCATTGTTTCTTGGCAAATGTTCATCTGTTCTTGCTCGTTATGTTACTCTGAACTCTAATTGGTTGTGGACCTGAATCTCTGCAGAGCCAAATGCACAAACCTCAAACACAGACGACTGTAGTGTAATCATTGGAAAATTCTTTAGGACCCCTCCACAATTGAAAGCACTGGCTCCTGGGCCAGGCCTTGCTTTTCTGGGACAGGACCACAATCTACAACAAATTTAGTTCATCATGGCACTTGGAGTAGCATGAGGCATTTTGTTGACTGCGAACAAATAACCTGTAAACAGGGATGAACTCAACAGTGAAGTAAATGATTTCTGCCTCCAGTTTTAAATCTGGTTTCAGGCCTAAAGGCCCTGCAGAAGAATGTAGGATATTCTTCAAATATTTTTACAGATGGTGACCTGAACTGCAACACAAGTGGTTGCCTAGTATCATCATATGTAGACAGTCAGCATTTCCAAAGGGCATCATTCACATTGCTTTCTCTTTTTTTAATTCCTGTTTGTTATTATTTTTGCTCCGTCTTTTGCTTAATTATGCTTGTCAGACAGTTCAGGTAGCATTTTCACTTTTCTACATCAGATTTACTTCTGTAGTATTGCAGATTGCATTTATTTGAGCTTCCAGGCCAATTGGTTTCTGTCTCTCCCCTCCCTCTTCGTTTTGCCTCTTCTGTTTGTATCCTGGTGTCTGCTTTACGTTAGTGAACAAAGAATAATCACTGTTTCTGGGTATCAAACACATTCACTCATCATTGTGGGCACAAAACTGCAAGTTACTTTACCTAGCTCCTGAAATGTAATGTCAGATGCTGTTCCACTTTTTGAACTTGGGTGTTCATCAACCCAAGAATGAGGAGTTGAGTATCTCTTGTTTGCAATAGCAGAAAAGTTTCTGCAACTACGGTCTTATTCTGACAGCACAAAACTGACCCTAATAATGATTCCACTCTGACCAGTACAGGAACTGGAAAAATTGTGTAATAATTCAACAAAGCAAGAATGTTCTGTTCCGAGATTGGAATGAGACACAAGGTAGAAGATGTATATGGTGACCTTTACTTCGCATCTGGCCTATGCTATAGCCAACATGGTCAATCATGGACTATTACTGGGGAGTGGAAGGGGAGGGGCTGCAAGCTTTACTCTGCATCATGACTATCCTGTACCTGACATGTAAGCTGACATTTGGTAGCCAGTGTTCCATTCCAAGCACTAATAGCCTCTCACTATTCCACAATACACCGAAGATTCAGCGAGATTGAGTCTTACTGAAAATTCCAGTCTGTTTGATTCTTCAGCTAATGAAATGATTGCAGCATTGACTTTTCCTCCTACTTTGTTTACTAGTAGCTGAGGACCTGAGTATTAGTCATCAGTAGAAAAAATTTGGAAACTGCCCTTTTATATCAGACATGTTCTGTAATGTTAGAATTAATAAGCAGTTTAATCATAGTCCTTTCTTCCTGCTACTCTTCACAACCCAACAGAGCAATGAACTTCGAGTATGACCATTCCAATTGCATCAACATAAGGCTATTACTAAACATAAGACAGACTTTCAGATGCTTGTGGGCTTAATGCCAATCTACGGTGATGAATTGAATTGAATTTGAATTGCCAACTATCTGTTGACTTTAGAAGGATTTGCAGCTTGTATAAATTAAAATGACTGCTTCAGGAGTGATTAGGGGTCAAGCCATAACCATATTTGCTATGTAGAGTGTACCGGAGAGTTGCCACTGAAATTTTACAAAGCATGAAAAGATTGACATCTCTAGTCCTTATGCTGACCTGTGATCTGTTAGCTGATTTTTTAGAAAATTGGCATTGCATATTCATGTACTGCTGTCTTGATGAAGAGCTGTTACGTCAATAACTTACTTGATTTAAATTTTTCAAGTTCCTCAGGATTCACATCATTAAATATTTCACAGTTCAGTGACATGGGTGTACTGTGTGAAAGCTCTGGAACCTATCAGTATAGCGTCAGTTGCGTGACAAATGTGGGGGCTCCTGTAAGGAAAACATAACTGTTCCTCTGTTGCTTGGCCTTAAACATTTTGCACTTAGCAACAGCCCTTGTAATCAAGTGGCTGACTCTGTTTATCGTTATTGTATCCATGCATCTGTCTTCACAGAGTTTGAAGACAAATGTCACAGTATAAACTGTGTAGATGGCGATATCCAAAACAACTGCTCTAAAAATATTCACTAGTTTACAAATGGTAGGTAAAAATGCATGAAACTGAAATTGTTGACTTTGTAGATGAGTAGCAGTAAGGAGCACTGGTTTTATTTCTGACATCCTGATTTAATCGTTTTAATTTTAATGGAGGCAGAGTTGCAATCACTCAGATAAGCTCATTATAGTTATGGATAATGAACCATTGGACCAGTTTCATTTACTAGATCTGTGCCTCTTTTTGGCTCAGATCCATTGGGCTGGGTAGTGCATCAGTTTAGAATATTTCTTTTTGAAAGTCTTGTGTGACTATCTGTTGAAAACCAGAGTCAGGTTTGGCTGTGACCATCAAATAATTTGGCAGCAATATCTACCTGGAATGGCAGACACTTGAGTGAACTAAAAGTTTGCCCGTGCCTGAGAATCTGCAGCCTAGAATGTCCTCATGAGAAGGGGAATATTGAGGTAGAGACCGCTTATGTACATTTGTAAGCTGCAGTGCTTTGAATTCAGTATCCAGATTGATAGAGAACAGTACACTCTCTCAAATCCTGTGCAGTTTAGTCCAAGCCCACTTGTCTTTTATGTGCAGTTGGGTAAATAACACACCGTAATGCAAACTTAGAGTCTCCAGAGTTTTACAGTCAATTCCCATGGTTAGAATGTAGTTTTGTTTTTGAATGAAAACCAGATATTTTCGGTCAAAATAAGTAAAAAGGGGATGGAAATGAAGGGTGTATATCAATCTTCAGTTACTTCAGAAACTAATATACTTGAATATTGTACTTCTTCAAATTATTGAAACATTGTAAAAGTGGACAAATGTCTGGCACAGTCTGCCACACCGACCAGGAGACCAGTCCCTGATCTATGCTGAATTACTGGTTGGAAATTATGACTTGGCCTCGATGCTTTTGGCTTGAAAATGGTGAAGAATTTGAGCAGGACTCCTGCTCCTGAGTTCCATTTGGCATTTCCTGCTGCAAGGAGCTTGTGGTTGGAACAAGTTTGAACTCAGTTTCAGTGTCTTCCGTGATTAAGTAGCCTGTTGGCATTCATTGCCTACATTTGTCTGAAGAATGACAGTTGGCAGATGTTGGTGCCTTCAGCAGTCAAGGTGTAAACTTCGTTAACAGTAGTGGAATGCTTTCTGCTATTTGGTGCCAATTTTGCCTTTAAACTTCATGCAATAATATTGTTCAGTGCTGTGCTCAAACAAAAGGCATGAGTTAATAATACAGTAATTATGTGCAAAGTTTATTCATTGTAAACTCATGACACCAAAGCCTCTGCTGTCAGGGTGTAGAGGACCAAGTGTGGCACTGAGAAACCCGCAGTGCAAGCTGAACAGACTCAACCCACTAAATTAATCTGTGCCTTGTTTAGCCAGAGCTCTCAAGGACCAGTGGTTGGTTTATGTTGTTTACAAAGTCAAAACTTGCATTTTCTATCATTAATTTATTGTTTCTGTGGATTCAGTCATATAATTCCAGTGTTTAATTCCTAGTGTTTTATTTTGAAACTGTGAACATAGTGCACTTTACACATAGGAGGGTGACTATGACAGCAAATCTGTGAAGTATTGTAACAGGAAAATGGAATAAAACCAGCTTCATCTCAATGAGCAACTCTACCACTTTTTCTTGTACACCCTGTTTTTTTTTAAAGCATCTAAGAGGACACTAATCAGCCAGGCATCTTGTTCAATCTGCAGTGACTCCTGCTGGAAATTGTGAGTATGAGTGAATCTGTGAATCTTAAATATATTACCAAGAATGATTGGAAGATTACATTACTTCGCCACAGTCCTCATGTATAACCAGATAATAAGCAAGCATAGAACTTTAGCTCTCAACGGGACAACTTTAAGCAGAAAAGAATAGGCAAAGACATATTCTGTGATGAAGGGTCTTCTTTTGAGCTTTGGGCAGAGGCGCACAAGGGGTAGAGGAACTTCATTAAATCAAACAACATGCCGATACTTAACGCCGACATGGGATATCCAAAGTGGAAAGTATTCTAGTCTCAAACTTTAAATTTGGCTGTCCCATACTTGACCTGAATACACATCCTGCAAGCTTTTGCATAGAAAGGTCCAGAAAAAAAAAGCCACAATATAAACAAACAATGCAGATATATTCAGGTCTGTCATTAATATTTAGAACCTATGATTAAACAGCATCCTCTGGTGGTGAAAGATGGTGAGGAATTGTTCCAAAGTAGATAGGATTGTAGTTTTCCTGTTCCCCCAATTGAATTATTAGAAAATTCTTGGTTAATATTTATTAATTAACTCAGTTATTTATGTAATGACTGGAAATTATAACAGCAGTAGATCTGATTTTTTTTTCGATTATTATGAAGTGGATGTAACCATAATGTGATTGGTATGAAATGAATGATATTTGCATTTAAAGCATTTTCACAATGTCAATGCTTCACAGTCAATAAACCACTTTAAAATATAGTCACTGTTTTCATGTGGGGGAAAATGGCAACAAAATTTGATGTGTGGATGAGCTAAGTTCAGTTCATGCCGTTTGTATGGATTTTAGCAAAGTTTTTGACAAGGTCCCACATGGGAGAATGATTGAGCAGGTTAAAGCATGTGGAATTCAGGGAAATTCTGAGATGGACCAGAAACTGGCTTAGTAACAGGACACAGTGGTAGGAGGTTGTTTGAGTGACTGGAGGCCAGTGTCCATTATGGAGTAGGGGCCAAGGGCACCTGTGTATGATGTTGGAAGGATGTTGAATGAATACTCTTCAGTCTTCACTCTGGAAAAGGAGGCATAGGTATGGATTTCAGGAAAAGGGACTGTGAGGAACTTGTACAGTTTGACTTAGGAAATGGGGAGGTATTGGAAGCTCTGTTGGGCCTAAAAAATAGAGAAATCCCCAGGCCTGGATGAACTGCATCCCAGGCTGCTGTCGGAGGTGAGGCAGGAAATCGCAGGGACTCGGGCGCAAAATTTTAATTCCTGTCTGGCCACAGGAGAAGTGCCAAAAGATTGGAGGATGGTTAATGTGGTTCCACTTTTTAAGAGGGGTGGTAATGATGAACCAGGAAATTACAGACCAATGAGTCTCCATCTGTGTTAGGCAACCTATTGGAGAAAATTCTGAAGAAACAAATTAATACCCACTTGGAAAGGCATGGGTTAATTAGGGATAGTCAGCATAGCTTTGTCAGAAGGAGGTCATGTCTAACAAATTTGTTAGAATTTTTTTTGAAAATGTGATCATGTATGTGGATGATGGAAGTTCAGTTGATGTATATGATTTATATGGATTTTAGCAAGGCTTTTGACAAGGTCCAACATGACAAGATTAAACCATGTGGATCTGAGGGAAACTTGGTGAGATGAATCAGAAACTAGTTTAGTAATAGGACATAAAAGAATAGCGGTAGAAGGCTGTTTTGATTGACTGGAGCCAGTGTCCAGTGATGTACCACAAGGATCAGCACTGGGAACCTTTTATTGTTTGCTATATACATATATGATATATATGAAAATGTTGGGGGAATGTTAAGCAAATTTGCAGATGACGCCAAGATTGGTAGAGTGGTTGGTAGTGAAGAAGATGGTTGTAGGTTACAGGAAGATGTAGATGGGTTGGTCAGATGGGCAAACCAGTGGCAGATAGTTTTAACCCTGATAAGTGCGAGGTGATGGACTTTGTAAGCATAAACAAGACGAGGGATTATTTAATGAATGGCAGGAGAGAGTAGCTTAGAGGAACAGAGGGATCTTAGGGTAATTGTTCATAAATCCCTCAAGTCAGCGGTGCATGTGAATAGGATAGTTAAGGCGACATATGGGACACTTGCTTTCATCAGTCATGGTGTAGAGTATGAGAGCAAGCAGGTAATGTTGCAGTTGTACAGAGTATTGGATAGGCCACAGCTACAGAACTCTGCAGTTCTGGTCTCTCCACAGGAAGGATGTGGTAGCACTAGAGAGAGGACCGAGGAAGTGGGGAAAGCAGAATGGAAACTTGATGAAATTGAATAGGAATAATTGATGGATCAAATGGGAATCAAGTTGAAGATTTAAAAGACTATATTTTGAGTATTAGTTTAAAAAAATGGTCACAGCTTTTTTATTTTGTAATTAACAGGACAGTTTGCAAGATTATCAATCTAAGGGGAAAACCAACAGTTTTATTCTATTAGAGTTTTGATTGGTTATCAAGTGGACCCTGGTAGAGATTTTGATTGGCAGTTAACTACCAAGGTTAGTTTAAATCTTTAAACCAGCCACATTTCTGGTCAGGGAATTACCCTAAGAAATTAACTAGCAATGGCTCTAACCTATTTTGCTGAGCTGAAACAGGTGCTCTGTGTGTGTGTGCATGTGTGTTTTCTTTCGTTTGCAAATAATGGAGTCCTGTTTCTTTAATATGTAGCTTCCCATACTTGCAAATGCACCATGCTGTGATTCCAGCTGACAACATATTAAACTGGTTGTCAAATAACATTTTTACACTTCAGATTATTCAGCAAATGTTATCCAGTTGCTGCATTGTCTCATGTTAGACATTGTAGCAGATTTTTGCATATGTGAACTGGTTGGGTATGGAATACATTCATTAAATTGGGAGGAGCATCCTGAAGTTTGCTGAAATTAAATAAGCTGGGGTTTTAAAAAAAAACAAATTACTGTATTAAACTTGAAAGAGATGAAACTTGAATAATATAAATCGTTCCTATTGATTTAAGGTAGTTTGTTTTTGAAAAATGCTCTTTTTCCACAATAATTGAGGCATTAAAAACATGATTAGAATTAAACATTTAAAAAAAAAACATGTTTACAGGATAACAAAACATCTCAGCAATGAGTCAGTTAATTGTGAATGGAATTCAGAGATGGAGGTTTCATATTCAGCATCACCAAGTGTTGGGAAAGCCTACAGGTATACAATGGTAAATACCAAAAGCAAATTCAGTTTTGAAATGAAACTCGACCCTGAAAGTCCGCTTCCTGGCTCCTAAACGAAACATGGCAGGAAATGAGTGAACTGACAGTAAATGCACGTCTGGGCCAACACCACATTGAATCATAAAGTTAAAGTGTTTGTGTGAACTAGCTTTAAAGTTCATAATAAAATCTCCAAACAGATGTCGGCTCTTTAAGAAAATGAATAGAGCCTCAGGAAATTCAGTAAAGATCATTGAATGGGGTCTGTTGTGATTGCAGCGAGCAATGGTGATATAAGAAATTGAGCTGTCAAGAATTTAGAATGGTAAACCGATGAAAACAATGTTACTATTGGCAAATTAAAGTTAGGTTTTGGTAGTTTTGGCTAACCAGGAACCGGCATCTGTCAGATGATTATTTTATCAGCTACCTTCCACATGATACAATTGCATCCTAGGCACAAGGCAATGAAGCTAGTAATCACCATCACTATTTCATTGAGAGAGGTTTCTTAACTACAGTTCTAAGTACAGTTTTTAGTCACTGCAGAGTCTTATATAGTAGCCAGAAGCCGGAGTTCACTGGAACATGCAGTTATATGATATTCAGACATTTATTCTGCATAGCCTACGGCAATATTGACAGGGTCTCAGTAACAACTGGTCTGCTTCAAACAGGGGCTCTGACTAAACAGGAGTAGGGGTATTGCAAGAGAAATAGTGTTTTAATAACCAGTCCAGAGCTATGGTGTTTGTGAAGAAGCTAAGTACAAAGAACAGTCCCAATACTCCTCATTGCCATAAAGTCTTCCTATGTCAGTCAGCCCAGATGAGTAAACTAATCTCAGTCAGGATGGCAATGTGAATAGGTTGATAGAGCGCTGGGCCAAGTTGGAAAAAGTCAGCCAGCTTTAAATGAGCACATGTAGCATAATAAATAACTCAACCAAGAATTTTAACATCTGGGCTTAATTAAAACTGTGTAACTTATTGTTTGAAAACAGAATGTTTTAGTTCCAAAAGCAATGGAACAGATACAATCGACTCCTTCCTTTTTAGTTTGGAAGTTAAAAAAGTACACACAGCATCTTTGTTTAGGCTGCTTTACTGAAACAGAGTCATAGAGTCATACAGACCCTTTGGTCCAACTCATCTGCGCCGACCAGATGTCCCAACCTGACCTAGTGTCATTTGCCAGCATTTGGCCCGTATCCCTCTTAAACCCTTCCTAATCATATACCCATCCAGCTGCCTTTTAAATCTTGTAATTGCACCTGCTACCTCTACCTCCTCTGGCAGCTCATTTCATACACGAGAGACCCCTGCTTGAAAACTTTACCCCTCGGGGCTCTTTTTTAAAACCTTTCCCCTCTCACTTTAAACCTATGTCCTCTAGTTTTGGACTCCCCACCCTTGGAAATAGACCTTGGCTACTCACCCTTCCATGTCCCTCATGATTGTATAAACCTCTATAAGGTCACCCCTCAGCCTCCGCTCCATGGAAATAGTCACAGCCCACTTAGCCTCTCCCTATAGCTCAAACCCACCACCCCTGGCAATGTCCTTGTAAATCTTTTCTGCACCCTCTCAAGTTCAACAATATCCTCCCTATAGAAGGGCAACCAGAATTGTACACAGTATTCCAAAAGTAGCCTCAATGATGTCTTGTACAACCGCAACGATATCCCAACTTCTATACTGAGTGCACTGAC